GACAGTGAATTACCGACTTCACGCCGGTGGACCATGAGCTGCATTGGCTACCACTCCGCTAAGGCTGAACCACAGTGGCATTATACAGATAAGAGCAGCGCTATGTTAGCAACAAATATGTTGTATCGTGCCTAAAAGCTGCTGTGTCATGTAAAGCAGGTCAAACAACAAAAAACATCCAACGTTAGGATTTTCTTTACTTTTACAAACTGGTTAGTAAGTGGTTCACAAGTGGAACCTGCTGCAAACCAAAGAAGCCCTGGCACAGATCTAAAATGGATCTCATTTCAGTTGAAAAAGGGGTATGTGTGTGACTGTGTGTAAATGACGTAACAAAGTTGCCTTATTTAAAAAGAATAACATAATTCATTTCATAGTTAAATTCAATAAATAAAGACTTTATTTAATGTAATATTAAAATCGTTAAAATATGGCATGATTTAATACAGTTTTGTTGTATATGTTGTTACACCAATATGCAGACAGATAACTACTAATGTGTTGTGACCATAAGTGTTTGTTGTTTCTTGTGCCTAGGAACTAATGTTTGTTCATGTACTGGTACTGCGTATTTTTTTGACGCACTGGGCAACTCAACGTGGGTTGACGTCTTTATTGAAGCTCTGCTGCAGTCTGTGACATAAAGTTATCAGCAGAAAAGGAACTTTAAAGATTCAAATAATCTCCTTTCACGACAAGCGGCCAACGAGGTATTTGTTTCATGTTTTCATGTGGGCGTCATGTCCTATTTTCATTCATATATTTGTATGTGTAGCACTACACTATGCTAATGTGTTTGGCTATGCATATACAGTATGTTGTTCGTTGTTGTAGTTCTCACAGCGTAACGGAAGAAGGGAGGCTACAAGATTATACGCCAAGAATAAACGCCTGTTTCAAAGAACCGACCTGTGTCTGTGTGAAGAGAGCTACACTGTGTCTGAATTTGATCCAGAGACGGAGCCCCCTGCAGGCAGCAGGCAGGTACCTTATAAGCGTCCACTTTGTCCTGGCCGGTGAACCGATTCAGCAGCTCTCTGCCGACCTGGACACCCGTCACTGCCGCCAAAAAAGTCCGGTCCTCGTCCGTCTGAGAGGAAAGCCAGCGCAGTAGAGCCATCTGCAGAAAGGAGGGAGACATTTGATCATTATGGGTGCTTCGTGTCGTGTGCTGTGTCTCTCTCCCCTCTACCCCTGATTGTCTTCCTCCAGGTGAATCCTAGTCCCTAACCAGGCCCTGCATGAAAAAGTGTTGATTATATTTCACATCATTAATCCAGATCTGCAAAGCAACTAAAGATAATATAAATAAGTGTAGTGGAGTAAAAGTACACGATTTACTGAATTATAGTGGGGGAGGTAGAAAGTACCTTCAAAATTGTATTTAAGTACAGTCATTTAGTAAATGTACTTAGTTACTTTACACCAATCGTGTTAGGAGATGTGCTCCTTTGTTACTCTTTGTATTGTTTACTTTTATCACTTTCTTTTATTTTTGTCGTTAGTTTGTTTTGCAAACTGGCTAGTGAGCCCTCTTTGATTTTTTAAACAACATATTTTGGTTTTGCAAATCTGTTTCCTCTTTCTTTATTTCTTTGGTTATTAAATCTGTTGGGTTGTTACTCTCCGGTTTGCCCTATATTATTAGGTCTGGATCTGGATCTGGATTAATACTGAGCAGAACCCAGAGGTATCACGCTCAGTGGGGGATGGATGATCCCCGCTAAATGTCACTTAAAGTTTGCCAGAAGCACTTCACGGACTCTGCGATGACAGCTTCTTCTGGTAGCAAGTTCCACTCTCTGATTGTTCTCGGAAAGAAAGAGTATTTAAGAATGTCACTAGTAGTGAAAATTGGCTTGAAGTTCAAAGAGTTGGCTTTGCGGGTTGCCCTTCTAACTGGCTCGAGGTACATTGATGCATCAATGGCTGAGATGTTATGGACAATCTTGAAGAAGAGAACCAAACGAGCCAATCTCCGCCTTTCACTCAATTCCACCCAGTTCAACCGCTTGAGCATTTCTGTGACACTGCTGTCGCAGCAGTGTCTCAGAAATGCTCAAGGTAACGTAACTTGGGAGTTTAACATGTATTTTAGCTATTTAAAACGTCACTTCTTCTTGTTTCCACCCTCTGCTCGCTTCAAATAATGGTTTCTTCCCTTTCATTTTGCTACATAAACATGCTTTTGTGTATTATTCAGCACATTTGTGTGAAAGTCCAGTGATGAGATCAAATAAATGATTAATGATAGTCATTGAATTCATTTCCTATGATGAATTAGGTAGGGCTGCTCAATTAATCGTATTTTAATCGCAATTAGGATTTTGGCTTGCAACGATTATGAAAACAACATAATCGAAATATTACGGTTATTATTATTTTCTTTTTTTTTATTGTTTTTTCAGTTGAATTATACTTATTATTATACCTTATTATATAGTTCAGGGTAATCAACTGTTAAAAACATACTGTTCACATTTTTTTTCAATAAATGGATGTTTTCAAAGTAAATGGATAATCGTTTTTAATAATCGTGATATCAATTATTGACCCAAATAATCGAGATTATGATTTTTGCCATAATCGAGCAGCCCTAGAATTAGGTACACCCTCTTAAGCCATAATTACATAAATAATGTTTTACAGCACGTGAAGAGGTTACATTGACGTTATGTCAGAGATATCTTTGTATTGTGTTGCATAGATTCATTCTGAAATTAGCAAACTGACCAAATCATGTGTCCACCTACTGCATACAAAATGTAAAGTAGCCTAAATATAACCCATAAAGAACATTCATTCAGTACGTCTACCTATAATATATGGATTTTTAATTCAAAATGTGTTTTAACACTGTTGTCTTGCTGGTAATACCGATATTATCAAATGTAACAGTAATCTAAATACGTATTTATTTGATGTAATCGCAATCGAATGAAGTAAAAAAAAAAGTGTATCCTAATTATGTAATCACGTTACATGTAATCACGTTACATGTAATCCGTTACTCCCCAAGCCTGTTAGGGATGAGTAAACTGAATTTACCAACATAAACAGATGTGTATTTTTTCTCACCTGCTGAAATAACTGAGCGTTTGACATTGCTCCCCCTGAATTCGCCATGACGAAAAAGCTGAATATAAAAGGAAAAAACACCAAACAGCTGACAGTTTTGATGAATAATAATCCTACAACTTCCTCTGTTACCGATAAAAGAAGTTAAATGAGCTATTTTCACAAAAATATACCGATAAGAAATGATTCTGTCGACTAAAATAGAGGGTGAGATGAGAAATGTCTCTCTTCCTGTTTACATTGCTTCCTCTTCTTCTTCGTTGGTGTCAGTCTGACTCAGTCTCCATGCTGCCTCTCAGTGGTCACAATCAGAATCGGTTTTATTACCAAGTACACAGACACAGAAAGAAGAATTCTTTTTGGTTCCTTTTAAGAAAGCAAAAAAAAAAAGAATACTATTATAAAAGCTATTTTTAAAAACGATTTCAAAGTCTATTGTAACAAATTAAAAATAAAGCAATATTCACACAACATATACATAAGAAACTGAGTACAGTAAAATAAAATATGACAAATACTATATTCTCTACTTCTGTAAGAGCAGAGGTGAAAGGAGTGTTTCACTTCAGAAACAAAGTGATAATGAGCTGTAGGATATATCCTGCTACATTCAAGGTCTCACTGCAGTCATGTATTATTAACAGACAAAATGTAATGCTAATGCTAATATAACTGTTATACTACTTGTCACAGCTTCTTGTAGATATTGACATTTCCAATACGTTATCTTTCAAGTTATTTCTCTCGCTCTTAATGTTGTTGTGACTCGTCAGGCCGACTTGATGTCCATGGCTGGTGCGTTTCATTCAATGGCTGGTGTGTTTAAATCAATTAAGGTTGTTGCAACACACACCCAACAAAATTGTGGCCTTTACAATAGTCAAAATCAGGTCAAATTAAATAAGGCAAACTCAAATAAAATGATAAGCAAACTTAAATTATCTAAAGGTTTACAATAAATGTTAGACAGTTAAGAACTGTCTCTCCTTGGCGTGTTCAATCATTAAATAAATGTTGAGGTTAATTTGAAAATGACTAAATGTTCAAAGAAATAGAAAAATGTATAGATAACATTTATTAGACCGATTACTTATTTTTGCATTAATACTTTATTATTCCCAAATATATTATTTTCTTTTTACATGTTTTCTGATGTACATTTCCCTTTTTCCCTTCACTTATTCATTTCTGAATTTATCCACTCATATGCTAATTTGAACTACTTTATAAACTGTTGAATTGTTTAATCGGGAGGCTGTGGCTCAGTAGAGAGTGTGCTGGACTTCGAATCAGGGGGTAGCAAGTTCGAGTCCCACTGCAGTCAGCATGTCGTTGTGTCCCTGAGACACTTCACCCCAAATTGCTCCTGTGGGGATTGTCCACAGTACTGAACTATGTAAGTCGCTTTGGATAAAAGCGACTAACAAATGACATGTAATGTAATGTAATCTATACAGCAATGCATCATATTTTATAAACAATATACATGCTTAAAAATAGCATAAAGTGTGCTCTCCTAGAGGTCCTAGACCTATATCTGTTATTGCAAGGAATTCCATGAACCATTGAACAGACATTCATCTTCATCTTGTTTATGATTCTGACCTCATATCTAAATGAATGACATTCCAATCCGCCTCAGCCTACTTTATGTTTGCTGATATTTAGCTGAACTGTGACTGTCAGCACTATTTTCTAAATATCAGTATGTTAGCCTTGTTATTGTGAACATAGTATTTAGTGAACAGCAATAAGCTCTACTGTCCAAGTATAGCCTCACAGAGCTGATGACCATGAACAAAAGTAGAGTCTGTAATTTGGGAACTTGTTAAAATGTTGATGGCTCCATGTAAAGTGATACAAACTGCACTAATAACCTTTTTCACTTCAAAGTGAACTTTATTATCATGAGAGCTCAAATTAAGTATATTTTGATTTAATGCGTCTAAACAATCAGAGAATGTTCATTTGGATTTTAAACTCCAAAATCATGTTTCTTTCCCAACTGGATACAAAGCAACACGGGTGACAGTTTGGTCGTAAGTCTTTGAGAGGTATTTGTCAGTGTCGTTGATGGTCACATGATGCCGTACAGGTCAGAGGTCAGCTCTTTTCTGCAGGTTTGGCGAAGGAGCCCAACTGTTTGGTGTTGACGTCCCTCAGCTGCTCCAGCTGCCTCTGCCCTCGTCGGTACAGGTACTCGATGTGCATCACGTCCGTCTTCTTGATGCCAGCGTTCTGTCTGAAGTCGTCACGGATTCGGGGGATGAAGCCTGGTTTGTCTTGTCCGGCCCGCAGGAACTGCCGGTACAGAGCCAGGATCTGCTTCTGCAGCTTACTTTGCCTTGCCATCGGACAAACTCACTCACCAAAGATCACAAACCAAGTCCACAGCTGCGGTTCCACCAGATGCTTCTCACGTGATGTTGAACCTGAATGTGTCAAGAGTGTAAAGCTACAAGACAAAACACTCAGGGCCCCCGACGCTCCACTTAGTTTACTTTCCGGTGAGTTCTCTTCAGTTGATCCTAGAGGTGTCTCTGAGGGGAGTGGGTCCACGCAGGATCTGATTGGCTGAGAAGTTGTCTGGGATCTGATGTGACTGTAGGAATAAAACACACTGAGTTAGGATGATGAGACAAAAACAGGACAAGCAGAAGTGGAAGAAGTACTGAGATCCTTTACTTAATTAATATCAGCTAATCAGAAGTAAAAGAACTCAATATGCACAATGGCTCTTTTCACAATATTGTATTTGTATACTATCCGTTTTCCTCAGGAACATGTACATGGCAGGGCACTTCATGTTTTAGTTTGTTAATGTGGAGACAATTTTAGATACTGTTTGAAATACTGGGTTGCATTTTTGTATATTGGTACAGTACTGTGTCATATCATAGAAGCACATCCCATGTTTTTATATGTAAAAAGTAACTAGCAACAATGAGTGTCAAAAATCATAGTGGAGTACAATTACAATGTTTGCCTCAGAAATGTAGTGGAGTGAAGGTATAAAGTAGCATAATATGGAAAGTAAAGTACAATTATGTCAAAATAGTGTGTATGTATGCCTGGTACTTGAGTTAATGTACTACTACAACTATATATAAATACATCTTTAATTTCATAAGAGAAGGCCATTTGAAGTAAGCTCTCTTTTACAAGGATGCCCTGATTACAGTATAGAAAACAAATAAATACAATACAAATACACATAAAAGACTGTTTACACTTACAAATTGCACAACTGACAGGCGAAAGACATCATCACAAGGACAACTTTCATTCAAAGCAAACATGCATGCACAATGCTTCACTATCGGTCCTAAAGTGATTACAATTGAACAAAGGAATCAGCGTGTCTACATTTGCAAGCTTCTTCAGATTGTCCCACTTCTGTAACCTAGTATTTAAGAGCCAATTTCCCAATCTCAGTATTAACTCTAATGATTTTCAAGGACCAAATAGTTTTATGACCTGGTGCATTGTGCAATTGATCTATACAGATAATTCGAAATGTAATTAAATAAGGACTGAAATATCACTCCTTCAGCCCTAAAGACATTTAAATGTAAATTCCAGGAAGTGTTACAGCTAATGTTAATGTTAGTTAAACTAGGAGATAACACAGTCACATAGCTTAGCAGGTTAGCTTACCTGTTTCAAACGGCCAACTGTTTACTTGTTTACGTTGGTTGAACAAGTTCCGTCAATAAATCATCACGCTAGTTAATCAAACAAAATATAAAAGTATAACTTGCACGTCATTTTAAGCTGTGTAAGCTGTTGTAAAGCGCCTCTGTGTGACCTTACACGTTACAAAACCACTGTGAAGCCAGAAGACTACAGAACCTTTAACTTCCTGTCAATGATTTCACAATAAAATCCTGATTATTAATAAGGAGCCTGAAAAAACGTTACATTTAGCATTGTTGGAAATATGGATTGCCATATAGCGTATATGAAAATAGTTTTAACCTGTGCCAGCAACCAGTAGTGAAAACTAGGGTCTAAATTAAGTAACTTAATAGCCTTTATTCTAATACATTTTTAGGACAGCTTTTATCTCGAAAAACTGAGAGCCGGAAAAGTATGTGCATTTCTTATTTGGCTTGAGGTGTCGAATATCAAAACAGAGCAGCAGCAGACAGCACTGAATCTCTGCATGTCAACTTTACACGGTCGTCAAATTGAAAAGGTTTGTGCTTTTAATTCTGTACATTCTTCTCAGTCTAGTGATACATATTATTTCCGGTTGGGAAGTCTTTGTAAACAACTGATTTCCTAACGACATTAAGCTAATTTAGCTTCTGTCAGGGTCCGCTAAATAGTTTAGCTTATAAACCAATAATAACTCATCTGTATGGGATTAGTTTTGTTTCATAAATATAAAGGAGCACTTTCTCAGAATCAAGCAAAAACTAAGAGTTTAAGAGAGAAAAAAACGGAGTCAAGCTAAATAAATGTAATTTCAAAAAGAAAACTATAAGTTGCAAACAAATCATTTGTGTAATCATGTAAACTATTGAGTGGCGAAGTCCCTCCCCTTCCGGTGGACCTCCATGGGACCTTATTTCGGAAAAATGATGTATTGAAGTCAATGGAGAGAGAAAGATTATCTTTCGATCCCGTTTTAATTGTGCCACGAATTACACATATGATGTTTGTCAATTTAAAAGATAATTTTGCAAGTCAAAAAAAAAAAAATGTGTCGTAAAACTGTGAAGTAACACATTTGTTTGTGTGAAACGCTCAATGAACTACATCTCTGGTCAACAACACACGTCACCAAGATGGCCGTCACTACTGTCTTGTCAACAAAACGATTGACTACCCCCACTATCACCACAATGAAACACGTTCTGAAGAATGTCATGCAAAGCTGCCTGCCTGCCTTCCTTTGATTCTCTCTGAACTGCCTGGTCATTTTAATGTTTAATGTCAACCATTTGTGCAGATTGCATGAAGTTGAGAAGATCGTCGATGCTAGCGTTAGCGTTAGCATTTCTCCCCCGGGCTTAAATTGTGTATTATAGAATGATCACACCGGTGACAGTACTCTTCAAAGGGTTCACGAAATATGACTACTACTCTTACTGTTTAACATTTTGGGTTACTTAATGTTACTTCATGTTAAGGCTAATAAAAATGACAAGGCTGTAATGCTAAGTGAGTGGCGAAGTCACGCCCATCTACTTCCGATCCCGTTTGAATTGTGCCATGAATTACACATATGATGTTTGTCAATCTTAAAAAATTATTTCCATGTCAAAAAAGTAACAGTTTGTCGTAAAACTGTTGAAATATAAGACTATGAAAAATACGCAACTAGAAAGACCACAAATCCCAGAGTAAGTGATGTCACAATTGTTTTCCTCCACTAAGAGCAGGGGTGGGCATTTTACGGCCCGCGGGCCACATCCGGCCCGTTGGCCGGCCTTGGCCGGCCCGTGTGAGGTTGATCATAAATTACAACAAAATGAAAAAAAACAGCAACCTTTTCAAAATAAAAGCAACACAGCTGTATTGCTTGCATGGCGTAAATACTTTTCTAACTGTGTTGCTTTTATTTTGAAAAGGAAGCTGCTGTTTTTTTTATTTATTTACGTAAACGCTTATGCCGTAACAGCTACGAGTGATGCTGGCCGGCTAGTCCTCGAAATGTCCGCTAAGGGAAAAAAAAGAAAGATCGATACTGAATGCCGCATTTTCAACAAGACATGGACCGCTAAGTATTTATTTACAGAAGTGAAAGGTAAAGCTGTGTGTTTAGTTTGTGGTGCGCAGGTCGCTGTGTTCAAGGAGTACAATTTGAGTCGCCACTATGCTACCAAACACGCAGATAAATACAAGAACCTGTCTGAGGAAGAGCGGGCAAAGGGGTCGGATGCTTTGCTAGCTAAGCTGCAAAGCCAACAACACATTTTCACAAAACATTCCACATCCAGAGATGCAGCTGTCAAGACGAGTTATGTCTTAAAAGTTAACCGTTTTCGGACGAAGAGTTCATTAAGGAGTGTTTGTTGGACACTAATATGCCCGGAGAAAAAGGAGGCATTTGAGAAAGTGCCGCTCTCCCGACGCACTGTTACGAGGAGAATTGAGGACATCGCGGGAAATCTGGAGCTTCAGCTGCAGAACAGAGCGGTCAACTTTGACTTTTTTTCCTTGGCTTTGGATGAGAGCTGCGATGTACGTGACACTGCCCAGCTACTCATCTTCCTACGTGGGATAACTACAGACTTCAAAATCACGGAGGAGCTGGCAGCCATGCAGTCAATGAAAGGTACAACAACAGGGAGTGATTTGTTCACGGAGGTAAATGCATGTGTGGAAAAGTTGGGACTGAAATGGGACAAGCTGACAGGCGTGACAACGGATGGTTGTCCAAATCTGACAGGGAAAAATGTTGGACTATTGAAGAGAATGCAGGATAAAGTGACAGAAATTAACCCTGAGCAGAAATAGGTATTTTTGCATTGTATTATACATCAGGAAGTGTTGTGTAAGTCAGTGTTAAAAATTAACCATGTTGTTGATGTTGTAACTAAAATAGTTAACTTCATCAGGGCAAGAGCATTGAATCACAGACAGTTTGTTGCACTTTTGGAGGAAAGTGAGACTGAACATCGTGACATACCCTACCATGCAGCTGTCAGGTGGCTCAGCCTGGGCAAAGTGCTGAAAAGAGTAGGGGACCTGAGAGAAGAGATTCAAGACTTCTGTGTGAAGAAAGGAAACGACATCCCACAGCTTTCAGATGCAGACTGGATGGCAGACCTTGGTTTTGCTGTAGATGTGACTGCACTAATGAGTGAACTAAATGTCAAACTGCAAGGCAAGGGCCTTTTTGTGCATGACATGTACAGTGCAGTGAAGGCTTTCATGAGAAAGCTGCAGCTTCTCTCAAGCCAAATGGAGGACAACATTCTCACGCACTTGCCAACACTGAAGGAAGCCACACCATCAGCTGATCACCTCCAGAGGTACTCATCCATGTTAGAAGCACTGCATGGTGAGTTTTCAAGGCGATTTAAAGACTTCAAAACAGTTGAGAATGAAATGAACATGATCTTTTCCCCATTTACATGCCATGTGGATGATGCACCCAGTGATGTTCAGCTTGAACTAATTGACCTGCAGTCTGACACACTTCTGTCAGAGCACTTTAGGTCAGTCTCACTGCCTGAGTTTTACTCTTCCCTGAAAGAGGAGAACTTTCCACACATCAGGAGACGTGCTCAGAAGATGATGGTCCTCTTTGGATCTACCTACATATGTGAACAGACATTCTCAGTGATGAAGTTCAACAAATCCAGATACAGATCCTCTATCACTGATGATCACCTCTCAGCTGTCCTTCGCATATCCACCTCAGACATTGAACCAGATTTCCGTGCACTTGTTCAAGCCCAAGACAGACTGGATTTTTCTCACTGAACAAGTAAAATGAACTGAAAAACAAAAATCAAAAGCACTCATTCATTTCTTATCTTTAACATACTGTAAAACACCTTTTCAGTATTGGTATATTGAGCAGAATTAAGTTCAACTTATTTTTGATTCGGCCCCCCAACACAGCTCGAGTTTCTGAAGTGGCCCCTTGTAAAAAATAATTGCCCACCCCTGACTAAGAGATAGCTAAGATCAGTGCCATATAGATAGAATCTATCTATATGGCGCTGGCTAAGATAAGATAACTTTAACAAGATGCCTGTGTGCTTAGTACCAGGTTGTTATCATACCAGCAATGGGTCTTGCTCGTTCTTTCGCTTCCCGTCTGATGAAAGGACCAGGAGTGTCTGGATCAAGCTAGCTAGTAGCTAGCATGTTAGTTAGCATTACAGCCTTGTCATTTTTATTAGCCTTAACATGAAGTAACATTAAGTAACCCAAAATGTTAAACAGTAAGAGTAGTAGTCATATTTCGTGAACCCTTTGAATAGTACTGTCACCGGTGTGATCATTCTATAATACACAATTTAAGCCCGGGGGAGAAATGCTAACGCTAACGCTAGCATCGGCGATCTTCTCTACTTCATGCTTTCTGCACAAATGGTTGACATTAAACATTAAAAAGACCAGGCAGTTCAGAGAGAATCAAAGGAAGGCAGGCTGGCAGCTTTGCATGACATTCTTCAGGACGTGTTTCATTGTGGTGATAGTGAGGGTAGTCAATCGTTTTGTTGACAAGACAGTAGTGACGGCCATCTTGGTGACGTGTGTTGTTCTGTGAGACCAGATATGTAGTTCATTGAGCGTTTCACACAAAAAAAAGTGTTACTTCACAGTTTTACGACACTCTACAGAGTGGCGAAGTCCCTCCCCTTCCGGTGGACCTCCATGGGACCTTATTTCGGAAAAATTATATATTGAAGTCAATGGAGAGAGAAAGATTATCTTTCGATCCCGTTTGAATTGTGCCACGAATTACACATATGATGTTTGTCAATTTAAAAGATAATTTTGCAAGTAAAAAAAAAAAAAAAGTGTCGAAAAACTGTGAAGTAACACATTTGTTTGTGTGAAACGCTCAATGAACTACATCTCTGGTCTCACAGAACAACACACGTCACCAAGATGGCCGTGACTACTGTCTTGTCAACAAAACGATTGACTAACCTCACTATCACCACAATGAAACACGTCCTGAAGAAAGTCATGCAAAGCTGCCTGCCTGCCTTCCTTTGATTCTGTCTGAACTGCCTGGTCGTTTTAATGTTTAATGTCAACCATTTGTGCAGATAGCATGAAGTAGAGAAGATCGCTAGCGTTAGCGTTAGCGTTAGCATTTCTCCCCCGGGCTTAAATTGTGTATTATAGAATGATCACACCGGTGTGACAGTACTCTTCAAAGGGTTCACGAAATATGACTACTACTCTTACTGTTTAACATTTTGGGTTACTTAATGTTACTTCATGTTAAGGCTAATACAAATGACAAGGCTGTAATGCTAACTAACGTGCTAGCTACTAGCTAGCTTGATCCAGACACTCCTGGTCCTTTCATCAGACGGGAAGCGAAAGAACGAGCAAGACCCATTGCTGGTATGATAACGACCTGGTACTAAGCACACAGGCATCTTGTTAAAGTTATCTTATCTTAGCCAGCGCCATATAGATAGATTCTATCTATATGGCGCTGATCTTAGCTATCTCTTAGTGGAGGAAAACAATTGTGTCTTATATTTCAACAGTTTTACGACAAACTGTTACTTTTTTGACATGGAAATAATTTTTTTGACAAGATTGACAAACATCATATGTGTAATTCATGGCACAATTCAAACGGGATCGAAAGATAAGTTTTCTCTCTCCATTGACTTCAATACATTATTTTTCCGAAATAAGGTCCCATGGACCGGAAGTAGATGGGCGTGACTTCGCCACTCTATAAGCCTTTTTTCTTTGTTTTAACACATCTTTTTGTTTGCAGTTCTCTTTGCTTCTTTCTCAATAGGCGCGTTCACACCAAGTACTTTGCCGTATTTAGTGCCGGCACTTAGTGCCCCGGCACTTATTACCCCAGGGCATTTAGTACAGATCGCATTCACACCGGAATAAATTCCCTGAGGGAAGATTACGCAAATGAGCCGCTGACGTCACTTCGTCTTCTTCTGCTTTGGGTTTACTGGCAGGCCGCAAACAACTTCACGGCATATACTGCCACCCGGCCGGAAGTCCCCGGAGTTGGGGACTGGCTTCAGTAGAAGCTGCTGGGACTCCCAAATTATAAAATTAATTTATAATTTATAATTTTCCTTTATGAAACAAAACTAATCCCATACATTTACAAATCACATATTTACACACAAATTATTTGTATGTTCACACAAATATTTATGAGACAAATCTATGCCCATAGTGTGTGTGTGTGTGTGTGTGTGTGTGTGTGTGTGTGTGTGTGTGTGTGTGTGTGTGTGTGTGTGTGTGTGTGTGTGTGTGTGTGTGTGTGTGTGTGTGTGTGTGTGTGTGTGTGTGTGTGTGTGTGTGTGTGTGTGTGTGTGTGTGTGTGTGTGTGTGTGTGTGTGTGTGTGTGTGTGTGTGTGTGTGTGTGTGTGTGTGTGTGTGTGTGTGTGTGTGTGTGTGTGTGTGTGTGTGTGTGTGTGTGTGTGTGTGTGTGTGTGTGTGTGTGTGTGTGTGTGTCAATGTGCTTACCAAATGTCAGAGCTGACACGATAATTCGATCAACTGTTTCAGTCATTTTTCATTAATTCTCGGACTGAGATGATCTTCTAATGTTTTTCCATGTCATACTAAATATATTTGGTATTTAGGTATTAGAAGACATCACGTCTCTGTTAATTTGTGTGGTAATATGTTGGCAGTATCATATTTTATAGACTAAATTATTATCTATTTGGTTAAATAATTATCATTTGTATCAATTACCAACATCCACGCTTCAGATGGTTTTGCCACGATACGCCTGGATTTCTGGAATATCCTGTCTGATTATTTGATCTGAAAATCCCCGCCCTAGAAAATGCACTGCATCACCATTTTTATCAATATAATATTAAAACAAACTATATATATATATATATATATATATATAGCCTATTAAGGATTTGATATGCCCCCCCCTCTCTAACCGACTACACTAACTCACTCTAACTAACAATCTGTAAATGATAAACTCTAGCAAATACCAACAAATAAATAAAAAGCAGGCTGTTAAAAATGATTGTGTAATAAAACTGTAGTTATCAAAACTTTAGTATTATAAAGTAGTACCAACAACAATGGCAGGATTTGTTCTTCTCTGCTGCAAATGTCTTATCTTCTTTTTGTTTTGTTCTAATACTAAGTTTACAATAAATACTCTGTTACTTCACTGTAGTAATTAACCACTTTGAGATCACAATGTGTGCTAAAACGAATGATGTCTGTATTGTGATGTATTTCCTGTGTGTGCAGACCTGGAGGTGATGGAGAAGGAGTGGAGGGAGGTGGAGGAGCAGGTGGAGAGGCTGATGAGCGGTCAGGGGTCAGAGGTCACCGGGTGTGACCTGTGCCCGGAGCAGTGCAAACCGGCCACTCTGAAGAAAACCGTCACCTACATCGTCTGTGCCGTCATTTTCAACGAGAAGGTAACCTCATCATCAGACTATTTTATAATAATAATAATAACAATAAAGCTTCATTTATACAGCACATTATACACACCAGGTGCAGCTCAAAGTGCTTTGACAAATTGGCACACAATACAAATTAAAACAGAGAACAAGAAATTCACCTCACATCAGACAGTAAGACCTTTTTGGAAACATGCAGCGTAGCAACATGATATAACAGTTTGAGAGACACAAGGAAGTAAAAGGTATGATAATACAAATAAAATACAATAAAATAAAACAAGACCCCCTTTGGAAAAATAAAGGAAGACATTAGAAAATAGATATAATAAAATATATTTTTTAAATATATATACAGTGTATATATATTTAAAAAAATATATATTTTATTGTGTCTATTTATATATACAGATATAGATATAAAATAAAATAATAATACAAATAGAAACGTAATAATAATTTGAATAAAGGTTAGGATTAAAAGACCAACTTAAAAGGAAATGTTGCTAATAAAACTGTTAAGTAAATAATATAAGTAAAGTAAGTAAGTAAAAACCTATAAAACCTATAAAACAATATAAAAATAAAGAAATGTGTGTGTGTGTGTGGCCTAGCATTACTATACTTGTGGGGACCTACATCTGTTTACACAGTCACGTGTGGGGACTCGCAAAATGGAGGTCCCCATGAGGGGTGAAGACTTGGTTAGGGTTAGGGTAAGGGTAAGGTTAAGGGTAAGGGTAAGGGTTAGGCATGTGTTGGTTATGGTTAAGGTTAGGATAAGTCTCCAGGAAATGCATGTAAGTCAATGTAATGTCCCCTGAAGTGATGTATACATGGTGTGTGTGTGTGTGTGTGTGTGTGTGTGTGCGCACGCGCGCGTGTGTGTGTGTGTGTGTGTGTGTGTGTGTGTGTGTGTGTGTGTGTGTGTGTGTGTGTGTGTGTGTGTGTGTGTGTGTGTGTGTGTGTGTGTGTGTGTGTGTGTGTCAACCACCAGGAGGAGGTGCTGATGGTGCAGGAGGCGAGGCAGGACTGCTATAAGCAGTGGTACCTGCCTGCAGGGAGGGTGGAGGTGGGGGAGAGCCTGGAGGAGGCCATGAGAAGGGAGGTACGCATTGTCAAAACGTGTAATAGAGTGGTGCAGTGATGACGTATTTGTGAAGGCCGACCCGGAAAGTTAGCATCAACTGGATTTTGGAATATTGCAGGAAATAATATCTGTAGCAAACAAACTACACTGAAAAAACTGAAACATTGACTTTAATTAAATGTTTTATGTCAACAAATGTTACATAACTGTATTGTGTTAGTTGAAAGCAATAATAATAAGTTGAACCTAATATTTTTATACTAAATATTTTTGCTTGTAACTAACAGTTCTGTGATACCTGTTGACATTATACATTTAATTAAAGTCAACGTTTCAGTTATGTTGTGTGTGATAGTTGAAGCAAAAATGCAATCGTCAAAAGTAAAAGGTTTATATAAACAAAATGCTTCAGTCACATGGATGGTATCACCGCTAAGCTAAAGGCGGCTATTATTTGGCGTGTTGATCTTTAATAGTCTCTTTTAATCACTTGTTAGCAACCGCCGTTTTGATGACACATAGAAGCTTCAGAAATTCACAGTTGGGTTATTAAAATTAAAAACTGACTTTGAGAAAAGGGAACTGGAAGTGCTCAATCGCTAACTGATTTACAGTAACCTCTCTACACATGTTACTAGTTACTTAAAATAAAAGTAATGTTTTACTTTATGATATAACTGTCTGTAGATTTACTGATTACACTACGTTTGAGTAACTTCCACAAAAAGAACCAAAGAACTATGGCATATGCATTCTAAAGTAAATAATGTTTAATAGCATGTAAATAAAGCAGAAGTGTATTGCACATCATTACAAATTCAGTGGTGTGTGATATTATAAAGCCTAATAAGGTTGTCCTAAACGCATTTCTCCCATATTCATGCATTCACACTCAGTGCTTACCACTTTGTATTAAAAAGCTCTCTTATATTAATAATAGTCGGATGATAGAAAACTATTAATTATGTTCTTATACTTTTCTTTAGTAAAAGGAAATAATTGAGGAGGATAAGCTATTGAAAGACGAAGAGGAATCCCTTTTTCTAATAGCACTGTGCACTGGTGGAAGAGATACAATTTGATGAATGAAAAGATAAAAAGTACTATACTACCCTAACACGCTCCCTGTTGCCTGGGATACCGCTCTGTTTGTCTGCAGGTAAAGGAAGAGGCGGGGTTTGACTGCGAACCAATCACCTTGCTGCTGATCCAGGAGCAGGGACCACAGTGGATCCGCTTTAACTTCCTCGCCAAAATCACAGGTATGATGTCACACTCACATGTTAGTCGTTCTGTGCCTTTAAGAATCCTCCTCGACAATATAGAGAGGTGCAGTGACGCGTCCTAAAACCCGGAAGTAAGCTGCGCTCGGGTTCCCTCGACAAAAAAGCAATGGGATTACTCCATAGGATTTTGGAAAATAGCTCAAAATAAGGTCTGTGGAAAACGAACCTGTTTGAAAAATGCACGTTTTGTTCAGCCGGATAATATCCACATGTCTACCCTACTTTTATAATTTTCGAATCATAAATCTAATCGATAGATTTATAATCGATAGATTTATAATCGATAGATTTATGATTAGAAAATTATAAAAGTGTTGTGTCTCTGAACTTTAAGAGGCCGTATATGCTTTTTGAGATTTTCCCTTTCCTGTGTGTTATCTAGGTTTTAGTGCATGTAAATGTTCTGCAAAGGCTCAAATCCCTTTGTTCCCTCCAGAGGGAGTTTCTCTCCCAAACACTTCCTGAAACTATTGATATCGCTATGTAACGCTTGCGCTTCTATTGGCTAGCACTCCAACAAATTGTAAGGGGCAGGACATCGCTAAGTTGTTCACCAATCATAACAGAGCTGGCCAGCTAACCAATCAGAGCAGACTGGGCTCTGGTTTCAGACAGAGGGTGAAAAGAGGTGCTGCAGCACAGGCAGTATGAGAAAAATAAAGAGCTTTTTGAACATTAAAGCATGGAGACATGTAAGACTTATTTCAGATTGATTATAGGAATATATTACAGTGTAGATAGCTTAAGGTGTTTTTCTTTAGATGTGTAACAACTTGTTTGTGTTTCTGTGTGTCAGGTGGGAGTCTGAAGACTCTGTTAGAAGCAGATCAGGAGTCTCTTCAGGCCGGCTGGTGGGACAGAAAGGCTGTCCTCCCTCTGAGAGGACGAGACATCATCCGCATCATCGACTGCGGGCTCAAGTACAACATTAAACTCTGAGTCTCTTTGCTCAGATAAGCTAAAGATGTCCTAAACACATTACGATTAAACTCAGATATATCTTTAGAGAAGACTCAGCCTCTCACTGTCCTTTTCTACAAAACTCACACATTTTTATATTATGTCCTACAAAACATATAAGGACTTTTCTTCTTAAAATTACAGCATGCATACTATTTTTGGTATCTTTTGTGGTTTTTGATTTAGTATCAGTTTTGTTTTGATAAAGCCTTTTAAGTAAATTAATAGGGAAAAATCCACCCTGCATCAAAACAGCTTCCAGTAACAAAAATAGTCAAAAATGTATCAAATTACAGGAAGTTGGTTAAAAGAAGAGAACTTAATAAACTGTTGGTGGAAAAAGTATTGAAAATAAAAAATAGATATTCAAAAATAAATCATCATAATTTGAAATCAAGTTATTATTCTTGACGATAGATGGAAAAAATGGGTGAGGTATACAAGAGAAGACATTACCATGACTCTCCAGTTAGATATGACACATTGTCTGCTGTGCTGCTTTCAGGTACTGTCAGGGACCCTGGCATCCTGTCACACTACCGTTAGACCTGAGCTGCCGTCACGTTGTGCAGAAACTCGTCCTGGTTTTCACCAATGCTGCGGACAAGATCTGGCTCCTGCTCATCAAAGGTACCTGGCTGCTGATCAGAAACTAACTCACTTCAGATGTTTGATTGATTTGCCTGGCTACCTCCTGAAAAGTCAGAAAGTATTTCACTTAAATCTTTTTCGGCTTAGAAAAACTAAATACAATTGTTGTAATCTCAATGAATATGTTAGTTTTTCCATCAAGAAGTTACAAGGACTTCTTGATGGACAAGGATGTGTCCTTTGTTTGTTGCTCTACCTTCCTGTAGTTCTTCATTAAAGCTTTATCTGCCATTAATATTTATATAACAACAAATCTGTCACTTCCCATTTCACTTGCTTCAGATAAATAACAGATAAAATACAAAACCACACATAGGGGCATTATAATTGAGTATTTGCATTAACACTTTACAAACTGTTTCCCAAATCAGAGTTATTTCAGAGGTTTCCAGAGTTATCTTCATGAAATGATCCAATAGTGATGACACAGGGAGAAAGGATTCAGAGAATACAGATTGTCTCATTTACTTCACCAGGTTCCCTACAGAGTGGTGCAGTGATGACGTATTGTTATAGGCCGACCCATAAATGAAGTGAGAATTGTTCAGTAAGTGATCCCTTGACCAAAAGCCAATGGAAAACCAGATCTTTGACTAACCCATGTTTATGATGATAACATGTTTTTTACGGCAGTATAATCTCCACATATAAACAACACTTTATTATTTCTGAAGCGTAAATGCAATCACCAGAAGTAAAAAGCTAACATTAGACTATAAAGGAACTACATCACGGTCACATGACTTCATGTCACCAGCGCTAAGCTAAAGGCATGATTATGTTTAGTAGTCCAGTTTAGCATTTTTAGCTGTTTTTATGACACATAGAAGCTTCAAACATTCATCAGTGGGGTATTTACTAACAGGCATCGAACCAAAATCACATACATCAAATTGTGAAGTTCCAAAATGCTAACTAATTTCCGAGTTATAGGACTAATTCCTGCACCACTACTACATTTGGCAAAATACATACACCAAAACCTCTGGTCAATTGTCCTACTCCAATATTTCTGGCGCCGGTGTTACCTTTGCTTGGTTTTTCATATTTCTATGTGCCATGTTGGATAGGTCAGTTTCCCAGTTGTAACTAATACTCAGATGTTAGGACCGTGGTCGGAAACGACTCTTTACAAAAATGCAACAAGACATGAATGCAGCAAGCTGTTTGTACACCTGACATGTCTGTAGGCTCTCAGGTTTGTTCGACAACATTTAACATCTGATGCTTCTTTTCTTGTTCAATGTAAATCATGATTATAGGTATGGAAGCCTAACTGGAAACCCTTCCTTGATAAGAGGAACACTAACCCTAACAGATTGACTTTTCATTTTCATTTTAACACAAAAATAGCTTAGTGAGGCTACAGACATTTTCTGTACATTGTTTTTAAGGAAAAAGCTGCATATTTTAAAATGTAAAATAATCCATGCACAAATGGAAACTTGGTCACACTGTTAATGTTACATTCACATTTTTAAAATTTGAATTTTGATATTGTTCACTGAACATCAGGGTATGACTTTGAATGTTAAAACCTTTTTTATTTTATTTTTATATGGTCGTGAATATGAAAAATTGAATTGGATTGCATGTATTATTTTCAATTTAATTCAGATTACATCAACATATGTGAGAAATGAATTGATATTGTTGAAATAGATGTTCATACTAAATGAGACACAAACCTCCTCCATGTGTCTCTCTCTGTGTTTGTATTATCTGAATCTCCATGAACTAACTAGGAAGGGGAATGATTAATCGAATATTCGATTTCTTTATGGGAGGGGTGCCTAAATTGATTACACATTATCAAATGGATTAATTAAGCAATAGCTCACGACAGGCCGTGGTATATGCTCATTATATCACAGCTAAGGGGCGTGGTTCGGCCCGACGCGAAGCGGAGGGTCGACAACCCCCTTAGCTGTGATATAATGAGCATATATCACGGCCTGAAGTGAGCTATTGCTTTTATAAAACGGTTACCAAGTGTGGCAATATGAAAGAAAAATACACACTCTAATTTAAATAGTTTTTATTAGTAAATAATGATGTTCAAAATAAAATAGTCCCTCTGTTGCCTTCTGCACGAAACATAGTGCGAGGTGGTTGCTATGCAACAACACTAACAACAGCTAGCGAACATATTAGACAGAGAGCGTTGATCCATTATTTGGCTATTTATTTACATTAATGTGTATGTTGCCGTTTATTGTGCACCCACTGAAAAACTGTCCAGCATCAGTAGCATGGCTTACGTGGTTACTTGTATAGGCTGAGGTTGTTCTAGGCTGTTGCTTGGCGTGGCGAGAATATTGCTCCACTTTCTCCGGTCCCCGAGATTCGGCTTCCAGTAGCACTGGAGAGAGGTTTCGCACCTGTGGCCACTAACGGTCATAATTTCTCTGCTTTGTTTCAAGACCCGCATCAGAAAGCCTTTGAATGGTGATACTTTTCCAGTTGGTCTACCTGCTCTTCACGTAGCTCTACATGTCGTCGTTTAGGTGCTTTTTGTTCTGGAGATAGGCACTCCTCAATCCACTCCTCCATAGTAAGACCCCCCCCCCCCCCCCCCCGGAGGATCTTAAATGTTTTTGCGGACCTTTTTGATTACAGATTTGAAGACATCGTTGCTTGCTTTAAAAGTAGCACAATTCATTATGTCAAACCTTGGAAAGTATCTAAATATCCCTGCCCTAATGCCAAAGGAACTGCACACTGAATATGTTTTTGCCGTTTGATGTCTATGTCTGGACCGTTGCGTAAAAAGGAGGGTTTCTGCCCCGTTACTTCTCCGCTGCTTTCTTGTTCCAGTTTGAAAAGCAAACTGCAGGCAGTTTGCTTTTCAGCCCAACTGTATACTGTTTATCTCAGACGCGGAGGGATACTGACTTGTTGTGAAAAGTAACTTACAATTCTACCCGTGGTATACGCTCAGTATACCACGGCTAAGAACCAATCAGATTGCTTGATTTTACTTGTCCGTTTTATAATTAAATATATACGACAGTGCCATTTAAAATATCTTCAGAAAAATATCAAAGAAAAAAAAACACGTGTAACGTTCCACTCTAACGGAGAGTCCTACACAACAAACGAAAATGTATTTATTATTAAAACCTTTTTTTTTTTTCAAACGTAAAAGAAAATTCGGTTAACCGTTTTTTTGGGGGTCGAATATTCGAATATTAATTTGCTTTCAAATTCCAATCCCTATAACTAACCCACCCCCCCTTCTCTCTCAGCCCCTGGGCTCCACCTCCCCTCGGCTGCTGCAGTGAAGACCCACGCTGTGACGTGGGCGGCCAACATGGTGGTGCAGGAGGCGCTGCCGACGGCGTACTACGACCATGACGTCAACACTCTGGGGGTCTTTAGCCTGCAGCACAGCGGCCGGCAGCAGGGCAGGACGGACGGCGTGTGCTTCAACACGCTGGTTGCGCTGGTGCCCGACCGCGTCCAGCGCAACCAGGACGGAGAGAAGGTGGCGTCAACGGGGGTGCTGCAGCCTCCACCTGTAGAAAACCCTCGATACCTCTGGCATGAAGTCCACAAACAGACACTGAGAGAGAAACTGCTGGAAAAGATCAGAAACACCTCCATCTTACCTCTCCACAGCATGTACTGAGCACCTTATATCCAGAGGTGGGAAGTAACTAAGTACATTCATTCAAGTACTGTACTTAAGAACAATTTTGAGATACTTGTACTTTACTTCAGTATTTCCATGTTAGGCTACTTTGTACTTTCTACTCCTCTACAGTTCAGAGGTACATGGTGTACTTTTCCTCCACTACATGTATTTATAACCTTTAGTTACTTTACAGATCTGGATGAATGATGTGAAATATAATCAAGTGTTAAATCAGACTTTAGTTCCACCTGGAGTAAATTCACAAGCTACCCTGCAGTATACAAAGTCATTCAAACTAGCTGCACCTTTACCAGCTTTGAGAACACTTTCATGATCAATCATTATAAAACATATCATATATATTATTCTGAAATGGACCAATCTGCACAATGACTACTTTTACTGTCGCTACTTTAACTATATTTTGATGCGAGTACTTTTGTACTTTTACATGAGTAACATGTAACAATGCAGGACTTTTACTGTAGCAGAGTATTCCTACACTCTACTTCTACTTTCACTCAAGTACAAGATCTGAGTACTTCTCTCACCTCTGGTTATATCTTATCACTGTATCATTCACTAAAACCCCTTTTCCACTGAGATTAATTCTGTTCTAGTTCCTTGCTGGTTCCACTGTTGGTTCATCTTGCGAACCACTTAAGGATCAGTTTTCTTTTCCACGACTAAAGGAGGAGCCACGTCATGATGTCCCTCACTATGACTATGTTAGAGCTGTGCTTATGTTGCTCTTAAACCTACACTGAAAAACTGAAACTGAAATGTTGACTTTAATTAAATGTATGATGTCAACACATTTCACATAACTGTAGTAGGTTAGTTGAGAGCAATAATATTAAGTTATCCTAATATTTTTTATTTAAACTTAATATTATTGCTTTCCTAACCTAATACTGCTAAGTGAAATTTGTTGACATAATACATTTAATTTGAGTCAACATTTCAGTTTTTTTAGTGTTCAAAGCCAGATTGAATGCAAGCACGACCTGTTCAGTCTCCTCCAGAGTAATGTTACTTATGATATGCCACTATGGTTCAGCTGCGGTTGTTGACTGCTGTGTGGTTTGCCGCCCGTGCTACAACAGGTGTTTAACCTAATGTTTCCTATCACCAGCTGAAAGTAGTGAGTCAGTGTCTGACTGTCAAACCAGTAATGTCTCCTGGTGCACATTTCTTCATAAATGTTTTATTTTAAATTGACAATGTTAGGCAACATAGCACCGTCAATAATGGATTGTATAAAATGGATGATGTTAGCCTAGCAACCGAAGCCATTCTGACTAATCAACTACAAGATTTGAACCACCAAACTTAATTGTAGGTTTATTCATATTTATGGTGTGGAAATGGAATAATGCGCCACAAAACTATATTAATCATATAAAACTCTTCGCTGCGTAACACAGGTAGACGTATGCCATATTAATTATTAAACGTAAATGCTTTGAATGAGTTGTACCAAAATGATAGCAAACGGGTTGTAGATCAAAGATGGGTGAATAATAAATGATATGTCGCACATATGCCTGGGTATTGTTGTTCCATGTTTATATATATGTGTGTGGCCTCGTACTATCCACCTGAGGCCTGTACTACGAAGCAGGATTTTCGCTTAGCGAGGTAACTTCAGGGTAAACTCTGGGTTTCCGGTCCTACGACACTGGTTCTCTTCTTACCGGGGTAGATCTCCATGGTAACTGATGCTGAACGGCAGTAGAGGAACAAACCCCCCAAAAAGGCTTTAGTTATCGAGATGACGAGATACCCCTACCCGAGGTAGAACAAAGCACAACCATGTTTTTTCATTACTTTAATATGTCTAGTTTATGAAACGGATGGTTGTATAAAAATATTCTTCTGCAAAATTATTATTTTTGGTTAATGTTTGGAACTTTCCCATAACCGAAAATAGTGAAAATGTAGGCTCCTCTGAAGGGGGCCGTGTTGGCCTTATCCCAAGGTTCAAGGTTCTTTATTGTCAATCTGACATAGTTACAGAGTAATTATGTAGTTGAAAATCTTATGTCACAGGCATGTCCCGTGTATCTCTTTGTAATATTAACACTTAAACACACATAAATCATAGGTGGAAATGGAATAGGAAATAGAAAATGCTAAATGTATGTTTATGCTTTTCTGTCATTTTTAAACTAAAAAGTCCAATCACCCAAACATTTCATTTATATGACAGAGACTCTTATCTTTTCATAAAAATAGTTTTTTTGACTATTCACTTCACCCTCTGCTACAGCTAACAGCTAACCAGTGCAGCCAAAATGGCCGTCAGAATGGGGCCCTGTGGGTGTACCTGTGTGAAGGGAAGGACACATAGTATAGATTAAGAGATCAAAAGATATGATATACCTACATATATAATAATGTTTTTTTATTATAATCATTATTATATACATGCTTTATATATCAAACTTTTCCATTCCAAACACAGTTTTTGTTTGTATTTTACATAATCTTTGAATAACACAGTTGATACTGTAGAGATACTCCCATGAGCTAACAGGTTTCCTGGCATAATATTTTCACATGATTTAATGGTCTCCTATCATGCAAAATGCACTTTTTAATGTCTTTTATACTTAAGTATGTGTCCCCGGTGTGTCAGGGAACTCACAAAGTGTCAGAAAACAAAACCCCCTCTCTTTTTCTCCGTACCCAAATCTCTAAAAACGGGGGTACAACGGAGCTGACCCAGATTTGCTGCCGATATGACGTAATATCGGAAATGTGGGCTGGCTTTAGACCCACAGCACTATCAGAAACATTGCTATCAGAAACAATGCCTAACAGTTTTGGACGTAATATGGTCTTTGTTTACATTAGCAAGCATCGCTAACACTCAGAGCTAACCTGTACTGGAGAGAGTATGTGTAAAAAAGCAGGAAATAAAAAAAGGAACTCACCTTGTGGTAAACCCGCAAGAGAAAAAACATTTGAGCTCCATACTGTTTCAGAAATAATCCTTGATGTGGTTTTGAACCAACCCAGTCTCACGGCATTTCGTGTTATAGTCACAACATTTAATCTATTGATTCGTGTTCACCAACACGATTTACCCCTTTTTTTCGTGTCACACAGAACGATTTTAAAAGCAATGTATTTCTATTGGTAGTATGTTTCGTGCCTGCACCACGTCTTTTTGTCCGGTCGGGTCTTGGAAGACCGGAAGCTGTGTGGTTCATAAAAACATGTTCTTACTCAATATCAAGCCACGATTATTGTTTTTCATTTTAAATCGTATAATGTCGGCCTTTTTTTGCCGTGCGCGAGAAAAAGAAATGTGGCTCAGAGCCTCAGAATACTGAAATCTGTACTTTTTAAATCTTTTTTTCCTTCTAATTTGTTATTCTTTTCTAAATAACACAGTTATTTACTCAACAATAACACACAATTATCCTTGTTTTTATTTATTTGTTTAATTCTATCATCTCGGGCTTTTTTGGCGTCCGTCAGGAACTGAATTTCAAAATAATTGACGCTCCCTCGAAATGTTTGACATAGAATTTGAAGCACCGAATTTGACCATTCGAAATGTTTTTACTTGAATTTTTGGGATCTGAATTTGTGAACACTGAAACAAATACATTGAAATTCAGCTTTTGAAATTGCGTATCAAGATATTTCAGATTTTTATTTCACATATGTAAATTCGGAGCAAAAAAATACATACATGATTTTCAAAGTATTTATTTTCAATACAAAAAATTCGGTGTCTGATAACATTCAAATCATTCTGTCTCTTGTTTGCTTCCATATACTGCTTCTGCAACAACTTTCTACTCTCGCCATGAACTGTTGCTCCACTCCAGCCTTGACGTATGAGGTTCTCGGTTGTTGTGACCGGCCCGGTAGTGTGTTGGTTCACCAGTTTGAGGAACTGTGGCACTTTCAAATTAAAATGACCTAGAGGCACTATTCTGCTTTTGGGGGTTTTCCCTTCCCTGTAGTGTGTTATATAAGTTATTGTGCATGTAAATGGTCTGCAAAGGTTAAAATCGTTGAGTTCCCTCCGGTTCATTTGAAACTTTTACCATGTATTGTTTTTCATGTATTTATTTATAGGTTTTTTTGGATCATGTCCACTGATTGGTTGGTTAGCTCAAAAAGTTACTAGACCTAGATCCCCCTTTTTTGCTCTTGTTGGTCTTTCTCATTAAATTGACATAGTTATTTTATGCAGTGTCTTTGGTGTGCATACAGTTTACAAAATATAAACAAGATTTGTTTTAATGTGGTAAAACTAAATTAGAAACCCACAATAAATGATCTCACTGAACCTAATAGTTTTAATTAAAACGTAATATTATGGCTTTCAACTAACGTAATACTTTTATGTGAAATTGATTGACATAACATGTTTAATTAAAGTCAACGGTTCAGTTTTTTCAGTGTGGATGAGGTATAGGAGGGGGCCTGGTTTTGGATGGGTATGTGAGTGAGGAGGAGGACATGAACATGAATGCATTGAGGGAAATTATTTAGGAGTTTATTTATGGTATACCATAGGGCAGTGGTTCTCAACTGGTCAGGCCTCGGGACCCACTTTTTCCTTTGTCAATAAATCGCGACCCGAAATTTGAACCACTCAAATCTATTCAACAAAAAATCGTGCTGTAATATATATATATATATATACGCTTTTCAGCATACATTATTAATTAAAGTGAAGTACATATATCCCTTATATCCCTTCACGGAACTAAAGTATGCTTTTAAAAAAGGTTTAATGAGATGATGGAATCAAAGCTGAACTGTTAAACATAAAAAGGCACAAATGCTGAAAACCCAACCCCAGCAGGGGGTCTGGGGGGATTCTCCCCAGGAGATTTTTAGAAATACTAACATATAAACTACGCATTCTGGTACACTCTAGAAAATAAATAAATGTATTACTACCCGACATATTAATAATATTTTATGCCATTGGTTGTTTTTCACTTTGTTCTGAAGCTGAACTTGCTGCTCCACACATAGAGAAGAGCAAAGAGTAATAGTCTGTGGGAATTACTTTAAATTGTGGGTAAGGGTAGATAGCCCC